GGGGGCACCCGCCCCCAAAAAAAAAAAAAAAAAAAAAAAAAAAAAACCCTCCAAAATAGTAATAATAATGATAATAAGGATGAAGCAAGAAGCACTTTGCCTACATATCTTTCTTGGACATGAGATTTAAAGTTCCACTCTATTAGCAACTGCTAGAGAAAGGGTTGGGTGGTTGGGGAATTAATTGCATCTAAGAACAGTTTCATCGTGGACTGTTAGAAAGATTCCATTTGGGATTATGAAATAAGCCACAGTTAAATTTTTGTTTAAACTGTAAAAAAAAAAAGATACAGTTTAGAGAACTAAAATACAGTTCTTTCCCCACAGTGTAACTGGGAATCTGTCCACTGGGTATTTAACCTATGTGATGAATTTACTCATCTCTAGACAGTGGGGCTGGCCATTTCCCCTTCCAAGGGGAAGCACCTTTATGTGTTGAAACCTCTTGACGTGCTCTGAAGGTATTTTTGGAGGACAGGGGCATTCTGGGGAGTTGTGCAGATGACATAAGGAAAACAGTACTTGCGTTTGTGGTGCGTGGAAAAATCTGTAGGCACAAAATGAGACTGAGCTGAGGACAGGCCTCCCTCCCTGCCCCTGGAAGGGCTTTGCTCACTGCCTTCTCCCCCATAGGAGCTGGTCAGACTTACTATCGAGAAGCAGGGGCGTCCGTCTCCGACCAGCCCAGTGAAGCCCAGCTCCCCAGCAGCCGGCAAACCTGACGGGTGAGTGCTCTAGCCTGCCACCTCCGTGGTCGCTGTGGCCAGGTTGGTCATGGCGGTCTGCTCTTGACAAAGGAGGGAACCATGCGGGCACGTTGGCGAGGCTGTGTGCAGCCCACAGCCCTCTTCCGTGAGAGGCTCTCGAGGCAGCTGTCCGGGAGCATGTGCGCCACAGATTCCGGGAGCATCGCCTCATCCTGCTCCCGCTCAGTGAGACCATCTCTAAGGACAGCGAGTGTGTGCTGGGACGCATGCCCCACCCTTTGGAAGGTTTGGACTTCAGGGATTTGACTTGGGTACTCCGGCTTTTGGGGTTTTTGTTTGTTTGTTTGTTTGTTTGTTTTTTCCTCTCTCTCTTTTTAAGTTTATTAGTTTTTGTCACAAAGCAAGAGAGAGACAGCACCTCACCGGGGTTCCGCCACCATGGTCCACCCGCAGCTGCAGCCAGCGCTAGGTCGTGGGCGTGCTGGGCCTGGCATAGAGGGCGGTCTCTGGATGCAAACGTGAGGGCTTGTCGTGCTGGTCAGCCTCGCAGGCATGGGTTTTGCTGTGTGCCACCATTCGCTTTTCTTAATGTCAGCTTTACCAAGAGAGGAAGCTGAGGGCAGCATGGGCATCCCCAGTTCTTGCGTCACTTACTGCCATGAGCCCTGCTGAGCGTGTAAGACACACATGTGGACGTTGTAGAGCATCTTCCGTTTATCCAGTCCAAAGATTCCTTTTTTCTTTCTTTTTTATTTTTTAGAGAGAGAGATTTTTGCTATAGAGCATGTGAGCTCATCAGAGAGACAGAGACAGATAGCAAGAAATCACCTTCCAGGGGGATGGCCACACCACAGTCCCCTCTCCTCCATTCTCCTCTCAGGATCTTGGGCAGGCATGCACACACACCCAGTGTGAGTTTGAAGCCACTGAGTCTGGGACTCGAACCGCTATCAACTACGTGCGAGTCCAGGGTACAACCATTACGTCATCTGCTAGTCCCAGGATTCCGTTTTCTGACGAGGAAACTGAAATGCAGGGTCAGGCACAGCCAAGCTGCTGCAGTTTGCTAATGATCAGAGCCACCTTGAGGCCCTATCTCTGACCTGGAGCCCAGGGTTTCTACTCCTCAGTCCCCGTCCCATCCCCGTCCCATCCCCCTCAAGTCCCCACTCAGGTCACATTCTGACCTTCTCGGGACCTTCCGTAACTCTCCGTGACCCTGAGTTCTCAATTCTTCAGTCAGCCTGCACTCCCCCTGACGGACCGCGAGATGGAGATCCTGAACAAGTCGCCTGGGCTGTCCCAATCCACCGAGCTCCTCCCAGACTCCACGGATGAAGAGGTCGCGCCCCCCAAGCCCCCTTTACCTGGCATTCGGGTGGTGGATAATAGGTAACCGTCTCCCTGGTTTTCCAGCGCTCCTCCGTGATCACCTGTGCAGGTGGATGGGTGGCGTGAGCCAGAGCAGGTGGAGCAGTTCAGACAAGGGCGGAGTGCTGGAGGGCTGCCTTCCCAGGAGGGGCGTCTCCTGAGCGGGTCCAGCCCCCTCAGGGCCCTTCCTGTCACACCCGAGGGCTCCTACTGCTTGCCCCTTGGCCTCAGCCCAGGGAGGCCTGGCATGATTTATCATGGAAGGAAAAGAGCATCGTGTGACTTTCAGACTGTTTTGGTATTTATAGTACAGGTGTTATTTTGGCAGGAGTGGGCGAGCAGGAGCTTTGTGTCACAACTGGGTGGGGCTCGCCTCGTAAGAGAAGCGGGCCCTCTCTTGTTCGGAAAAAAACCCAGGAGGAGCCAGTCCGCCCCGTCCCGCCCCGGTGTGGCTGTGGGTGCCCCCATGAGCCGAGCCACCAGCGGCTCCAGTTTGCCTGTTGGGATTAATAGGCAGGTAACGCAGCCCGATTCTCTCTGCAGAGGGGCAGGGGTGGGGCTCCGGTTGGGGATCGGCCCCAGATGCCAAAGGAGACCCAGTGGTCCCCGGACCCTGGTGTTGGGTGAGAGGCTCTCTCGTGGGGCCGGGAGTCCTCGTAGCATCCTTCTTTCTCCAGGATGTGACGGAACACCTGTACTGGGGGGTGGGGGCCGTAGCCAGTGGGGTGTCTTCCATGGCCACACACACCCCCAGACTCCTAGCGGCCCCGTTCTCATGTATATGTGACATTTTATTGCTGACAGCAACAATGGCTTCCGAGCTTGACTGTCACCCTGTGTAAGTAAACGTACCTGCCACCATTGCTTTGCA